TCTTGTCCTCTATAGCTCTTGCTAAACCAATGTCCTTAAAACGGCATCGTTCCTCTCAAAAACAACCGCACTAGCGGCAAAAGATTCCCCACCAACAAGGATACCCCACGTCATCAATCGGGCCGACCCGACAGCCTGTAGCTTAAACAAACACCGATATGGTGGGCCGGTACCAGGTCGTTTTCCTCCACCGACTGGCTATCGATATTCCTTCCACCTCGCGCTTCCTTTCTCTCGCCGCTCTTGGCTTTCAATCCCAACCAATATAATCAACTGCAACTCCATTTTCGTCTTTGTCAATTTTTTTTTTCTTTTCTTGCGTTGCCATTTTTGTTACTCTCAATTAACACGGTAACTTGACTGGAGCACGCAGTCTCGGAATGGATAGAGATTCTTCTGATGAAGACGACGATCGACAGAACCTAATCCACCAAAATGACACCAAGCGCGACCACCACAACCATATGAATACCAACACCGCCGCAAGGAGCCCGCGATCCGCCTTCAACGTCGAGGATATCGAATCTCAAATCCGACGCCGTTTCAAGTTCAACCTCAACAAGCGATACATCTTCGCCATCTCCCTCCCTCTTTTCATTGTTATCCTCTATTTGTCCACCGACATCCGCGGCATCTTCTCCACCAACCTATCCGCCTTCAAGCTCAACCCTCCCGATGGCCGGGTCGAGGAAGCCGAGCTTCGAGCCTTGTACCTCCTGAGACAGCAACAGCTTTCCCTCTCCTCTCTCTGGAATACCACAACCCGTACTATCAACAATATCCAATCTAATTCTTCTATTAGTAACGCCAATATTAGTAGTATTAGTAATAATTACAGTTCTTCGAGTTTTGCCTCAATAGCGTCGATAGAGAATGTTAAGTCCGAGGTGCTCAAGCAGATCTCAATGAACAAAGAAATCCAGCAGATTCTCCTGTCGCCGCATCGGACAGGGAATTTTTCCGAAAATGGGAACGATCCGACGGGTTTTGGCGGCTCTAGTTTGTATGATAGGTGTAGGAAAGTGGATCAGAAGCTCTCAGAAAGGAGAACGATTGAGTGGAAGCCGAGATCAAACAAGTTCTTGTTTGCAATTTGCCTGTCGGGGCAAATGAGCAATCACTTGATTTGCCTGGAGAAGCACATGTTTTTCGCTGCTCTTTTGGGTCGTGTCTTGGTGATGCCGAGCTCAAAGTTCGACTACCAGTACAACAAAGTGTTAGACATCGATCACATTAACAGTTGCTTGGGGAGGAAAGTCGTCATTTCTTTTGAAGAGTTCATGGAAATGAAAAAGAACCATGGCCACATTGATAAATTCATGTGCTACTTCTCATTGCCACAGCCGTGTTATGTCGATGAAGAGCACTTGAAGAAGTTAAAGGGTCTGGGGGTTTCCATCCCAGGAAGCTTGAGACCGCTTGGGTTGAGGATATCAAGAAGCCTAGCAGGAAGACGGTCCAAGATGTGGAGGCCAAGTTTAAGTCTGATGATGATGTTATCACGATTGGGGACGTGTTCTACGCGGATGTGGAGCGCGAGTGGGTAATGCAGCCCGGTGGTCCCATTGCTCACGAGTGCAAGACTTTGATTGAACCTAGTCGGTTCATTCTGCTTACGGCGCAGCGATTCATTCAGACCTTCTTAGGGACGAATTACATTGCTCTTCATTTCCGGAGACATGGGTTCTTGAAGTTCTGGTACGTTTTGCATATGCCTTTTTTTTTTAAAAAAAAAAAAAACAATTTTCTTTCTTTGTTTTACTTTAGCAGCTTGAAGGTTCGGTTATAGGATCAGGTTAAATTTAGTGCAAGTGTGTGTTTTCCAGTAGTTTGGGAACTTAAAATAAGTTAGAACGTGGTATCGGGTTCAAGGTGGTAATGCTGTGATTATACGTACTGCAGTTTTAACTTTCAATTGCTTTTCTTTTTGGAGGCATTAATTCGTTATACTGCACCAATGGGGATTAGGAAAGAAGACCAAGTAATTGTTGTTTGCAGTGGATAGGTGGGTACGGCTTGGTCCTTAACTTGAGATCATGTTGCAATGAAGATTCGCTGCTTTGTGGCGTTTTAGCTTAAAGATTACCTTCTTGCAAGCAGAATACAAAGTTAGGAATTTTCAAGAAACTTTCAAATTTAAAATTGAAACAAATTGTCATCATTACTTATTGAGGAAAAGTTGGTTCGTCAGACATCAAGGTGACGTGCCTCATCTTATAAACCATTGTGAGTACTTAAAAACTTTGGTAATTCAAACAGTAGGTACCCAAAGACAAGCTTTTATAACCATTAGGATTCAAGAGGACCTGTCTCCTTCCATTAGACAAAGAAAGAAGAATTAGGTTCTATTAAGTTCTTATGCTTCTCTGTCTACAACTCATTCATCTGATTTTACAAGGTAAAGTTCTTGCCCATTGAAGAGCGTGACCAATAAAGTACAAGTATTGGGATTAAGTCGAGCTATCTTTAATCTTCTGTTAGGGAGTTTCTTTCACTTTGAAAGCTCCTGTGTTTTTTCCTCCATCCAAGAGTTCCAAAATAGTTTGCAATTTGAGCCACAAGTATTTTCCATTTATAATTGCTTGCGTTCCCTCCCAAGCCCTGACTTCTCCCAAGATACATCATGCCACCATGCACTGCATTCTTTATCCCATCAACTGCAAGATTAGACTCCAAATTTGCTGTCCATGTGAACCACCAGTCCGCAACAGTAAGATCATTCTACCAAAAGTTTCCCAAGTGTCTTAAGAGACTGACTTTCCTTTACACTGGAAACTTAGCTCTCTTCATAAGGTTATCAATGGTGAAGATTCTCTCCACATTGTTCCCAAGCCAAAAAGAGACTTTTTGGTGCTCGTATTTCGGAAATTGGTTTTCTATGGGAGAGAATCCACCCCGACAGCCCTATGACATGTTATAAGCACAGTATGTAATATCTTCACCTTGAAACTTATAATCATGTGATGGATAAGATATCCCTTTAGTTAATACAGACACTTCTGGTCTATGTCTTCACCTTTATTTACCACGTTATAGCTGCTTATGATTTGAGATTATATATAGAAAATAGGTTGTTGCATTGGGAGATAGTTACTAGCAGGCATATAAAGGGAGGTAAAAAATTGCCTATGACGTCATATAAGTTTCAATAAATACTTAACTTTTTTAAATAGATTGAAAGGACAGAAAAGGAAAGGAAAGGAAATGAGTTCTTGGTAAAGAAAACGAGGGGAAAAATATTTCTGTTGGTTGGATAATTAACTAATAAATGAAAAAGCCAAAGCAAGAAAATAATTATTGTAATATTTTATTTCATTTAGCTTTATAACGGAAATGAAAGGATTAGTTATAAAAAATAACAAGTTGGGTGGTTAAGAATAAAATAAAATATTTCCTTTAGAATCTGTGTCATTTCCTTTGCCTCATTTCTTCCAATTTATGGGAATGGAAAAATTAGAGTTATGAGGGAAAATGAGCGATGCTCATCATCTCTCTCCGTCTTTCTTTTATTATTATTATTTTTAATGCAACCAAGTTAAAGGATTGTGAGAATTCTATCATTTCCCTCCACATTCCTGAGTTCAAACATAGTGGTAGAGATATTTGGGAATGCAGGTTTAGACATCTGGGCTCTTCTTTTAGGGGTCAGAACTTAGAGCATATATGGAAGAACAGTTATCTTTTGGATTGGTTAGGCGATTGGGGTTGGAATTTTGTTTATATCCAACAAATTTATCAGAAGTAGAAAGATAATTTATTTATAAGTATAATCACTGATTTTTACTTTTGTCGTGCAACCTTTTTGTTTATTTAGATTGTATCCTGCTTGTCACTTGTCGAATGAGGATGTACTTTTGACTTGAAATATCAATTATAGACTTTGTTTGTGATGGTTTCAAAAGCAGCATTCTAGCAAATACTTTGTCACTATTTGAACATTTAGTGGATCGCTAGAGGATACTTTGCAGTTTTAGCTTGTAGGTGCATTTGCTTTCCTGGGTAGCTAACCTGCATTAGCTATTGTTGATAGTTGCACCTCTCTATCACTTACTTGGTTGCCTGGATATTAAAATGAATCATAATTCTTGTCAGTTATTCCAAAGAAAGGACGATTTCAAATTATATTTTCAGACAATAGTAGTTGTCCACGGAATTGCATGACTTAAGTGGGTTTTGGGTCTTGCTGCTTTTGAGAATTGCACCTTTTTAGTGGTCTTGTGTCTAGTGTATTTCCATGTGCCGCTTGCTGTTAGTTTCTGATATTGTAGTTTCCTGAATTATGTTTTTTTTTTCTAACTTTGCCAGTAATGCCAAAAAGCCAAGTTGCTTTTATCCCATTCCTCAAGCTGCAGACTGCATCACTCGACTGGTTGAAAGGAGTAATGCACTGGTTATATACCTTTCCACTGATGCTGCAGAAAGTGAAACTGATCTGCTTCCATCTCTAATTATGTTGAATGGGAAGACTGTGCCACTAGTTAAGCGACCGCCTCGTAACTCAGCTGAAAAATGGGATGCTTTGTTATATCGACATGGTCTTGAGGGTGACTCTCAGGTGAGATTTTAACTGTGGCTTCAATTTTTTGCTTTATGTACTGCTTCATGCTCATTCTTTTTGGACTTGGAGAAGGATTCTCACTTGCATGATTTCTTCATCCAATGTTGTTTTTTCACTTCTGCATTAAGAAGAAAGGCTGAGTATCCATTGCGGTACATATGAAGCTCCCAACTATAGGAGATGTATATACACACACAACATAGGCATGAGTGAAGGTAGAGGCAAGAACAAAGAAAGAATTCCTTACATAGTTGAGCAACATGCTACATCAAGCAACTTCTGAATTTCTGTCCAAGAACTCAATCTAGAAACCAGTGGTTTTCTTTTATATACTGGGTTAAACAAAGGCTAAAAATTATAAGACTATCTCCTTCCTTTCACCAGAAGTTTTCTGTGAAATATAATTACCAAAAGCAAGTCATCAACCTAAGTGAATTAATGAAAGCAGAACTACTTCTGAGACTGTGAGTTTGTCTCTTAGAGAGAATTGCTTGGCAAGATTAATCACGATGAAGTCTATGATGTATCACTTGCTGTTAACTCCTCTTTATGAAAACAATGCAGATACTGTAGGTGAACTCGGAAATTTCATGAATTGTATATGAATAGCATTTTACTAAAAATTTCCTAGTTCCTGTCCTCATTCCCAATTAATTTAGTAGTAAACTTTTGGAATCTTTTGACTTTGTTCTTTTTAACATTGTAAAGTGTTGAACACATCTTTAGGTCTTAATGAGGCTTACATAGCATGGATAGCCAAAAGGTTTTTTCTCTTTTTTAATTATACATACAAGTGTATTGGCTAAAAAGTCTGCATTAACACACACATCTTGTTTTGTCTTTCCTTATCTTGAAGGTGGAAGCAATGCTGGATAAGACAATCAGTGCTATGTCTAGTGTTTTCATTGGAGCTTCCGGATCCACTTTCACAGAGGACATCTTGCGGCTTAGGAAGGATTGGGGAACATCTTCAGTTTGTGATGAGTACCTATGCCAAGGTGAAGAGCCAAATTTCATAGCGGATGACGAATAATAGCATTGAGGTACTCACTCAGTTGTTTACAGAGAGTTTATTAACTTGTATTATTGTGTATTATAATAGCATTTGCATTCTCTTGTTCATCAGTTCGATAATTGCAATGTTCTCCATTTACTTTAACGTGAGTTACTGCCCTAGTAGCGTAAGCTCCATCCACCATGTGTTTTTTTTTTTTTTTTTTTTTTTGTATCATTTGCTGGTGGTTGATGATATAAAACAGTCGAGGCTGTTGTAACATCAGTTGGTGGGGGCTTTATTCATAGATGTCTAAAGAAAAGGAATTAGAATTTTTTTAGATGCTTGCTTGTAAATATCTTTCGATAAAATAAAGATTTATTTTTTATGAACTGTCTATTATATGGAGGATCCATGTATAAAATACTATTTGCTTACTGGGAGTGTTTTTGGCGAATTTAAACCCTTCATAGAAGAAACTGTGTTATGCTTTGAGGGTGAAGAGAAGGTGATTACATGATATTGACTGTTATTTTTTATTATTAAAATATTGATATTATTATATTCAATTTTTAATCAATTTAACCGCGACAAATGAAATATGATTCATCAACGTATTATCTCGAATTCGACATAAATCCCATAAAAAGTTCTATTGATTTCATCGTCTCTTACAATTTAATATACTTTAACTAGCAATTGCAGGAATGTTCTAAAAAACTAAGCAGAGCTTTATTTTTTGTCTAGGAAGCATTGCCCGAATTGGGAGTAAATTTAGATTCAAGATCATGTCATTAGAAAAATCTATAATCTTTAAACTGCATATAAATATACTAAGTCCAAATCAATAATAATTGAGACATCAAAAGAACCAAAGTACTCATATTTGGTGCTTTATGAAAAATGCCACAAAATTGTAGTAATCATGGGATAAATTTAGCAATTCTTTTGTCGGATTCCATAATAGTCCACGGGTGGGAACTTCATCTCTACAATGACAAAATATACTGAGGCATTTCATGCTTACAATTCGATTTAATTTTGTTGGAATTCAAAAAATGTTGTTAAACTTGGTTAAAAGAGTATACTACAAAACAAAGTATGACTCTGCACTACGAGGGGCAAAACATTTTTAAGTTTAGGAGTTAAAAATTTGGTTCAAGTTAAGGAATAGAAGTTTCGGTTCAGTGTAGTGAGAATCTTTAAATTTCAACTTAGTTTGCGTAAAGGAGGAGCATGAAGTTCGTTTAGGCCGAATAAAAAGGTTGTTGGGTTCAGATGAAGATGCAAGAAAGAAGCTTAAGGTTCAAACAGAAGAAGAAACTAAAGAAAAAAAATATAAGAGATTATACTGAGTTTAAAAAAGCGGATGAACTTTTTTTTTTTTTTTTTTTTTGTAAGTAAAAACGATACGTAAATTAATTATTAAAAATAAGTAACGTTTTCCATTTATTGAGGAACCAAAATAAATGTAATTTAAAATATTTTATCAAATTAAATTAAAGTCTTTAATTTAATTTAATTTTTATTCCGAACAAAATATATATTTTTATTTTTATTATTCCAATAATTTAATTTTATAAAAATTAAAATTATAAAATTTACTTACATTAGAAAAATAAAATTGATTAATTTCTATAATTTAATTTTATAATCATTATTTTACTTTACATTTACAATAAATAAATAAATAAGAAATAGATTTATCTTGCTGGTACTCTCGAGAATATGATCATCCACGTGATTTTACCGTCAAACACGAAAAAATAATAGTAAGAAAAAAGAAAAACAGAATTTAATTTTATTTATTTAGATAGGGAAAGAAAGGGAAACCCATCACATTCCCACTCTTCTTCTCTCTCTCTCTCTCTCTCTCTCTCTCTCTCATTCTTCCATCTCTTCTTCTACAACTTCTCAAGCCCTCTCTTTTATTTACTCAAGTCTTTGTATTCTACATGCACTAACCATTTAACCATTTTTAAGCCTCGTTTCTCGGTAGAAAAAGATTCTCTCTGCCCCTTTTTTTTGGACGACTTTGAATATACACGGCTGATCCTTTTCAATTACCCAAACGGGAGAATCAGTCCTGCTGTACCAGATACTTCTTCTTCTTCTTTCTTCTTTACGATGCCACTTGTTTGCTGCTTTTTATGTAGTTTTTAGAAGGGAAGGAAGAAACTATGAAGGCAAAATTGGTGGTGTTCCCAATCAGAGGGAGGAGTTGGTGCTTCAGCAGATCCATAGATCAGGCTACTTCTCAATCTGCCTCTGTTAATGTCCCCTCCACGGTTACTGACCTATGGAAGAAGATTTCCTCTGATTCTAAGCCCATTAATGCCAATGCTGAGCTACTCGTGGATTTCATCTCCAACAAGGTGCTCCACATGTCTACATTTGTTCATAAATGTCTTACCTTTTTCATTCATCAATCAGAAAAAAGGATCCCCCCCCTTTCATTATTCAAAATGTTGATGTGGAATTTATTATTTTTCATTTTTCTGGATGGTAGATGAATAACGCATGGATGGGTCTGGAGAACGCGCCTGAGGGGACTTTGAAGAATAAGATTCATGGGTGGGTGGATATCTCTATTATATTCTTTCAATGGTCTTAAAATTTGTGTGTTATTTAGGATAGGAATTTCTAGGTCAGTCTTAGTTTTATTTTTCTCTTTAAAATGATTCCAGTTGTTTTTTATTAATGTAGGTTGGGATTGCGGCTTCTGGCACGGGTTAAGCCTTCTGAGATTTTCTTGAAATCTATATCTAAGGAGGTTACTAATGTCCAAGTTACTTACCCGTCAAGGTTTTCATTTAGTTTTGTAATTGTAACCTTTTATATGCATTTATGATGTATGGTTGTGTGACTGCAATGCTCTTGGCTTTATTGATCAGATTGAGCACTTTAATGTTATGGTTGTCTTACAAGAGGCCCTACATTCGTCTTCTTCCAGTTTATCTTGCAATTTTGACTTCGATTATATCTGTACTGATGTTTTACATTAGAGATATTTTCATTAGATGCCTTATCACCCTGGTTTCTTAACATAATAGATGATGTGCTTTCCAGGGATTAATAGCATGGTACATTGTATTTTTTTCTAAAAAAACATGCTACCATAACTTTTTGTTTGGCCCCATGTTAGCTCTTTGTGAAAGCACAGAAACTTTGATGGTGTTTCCGCATAGGTCGTTATTTACTGTAGAGGCAGACTTGGATGAACTTATTTTATATTTAACTGTCTCCCATGCATTATTAAGTAAATCTTTTCTAGAAGAGTCCTCTTTATATCTGTAGAAATCTTTGCACTAGACCACTAACATAAGTCTATAATTCTGGCATAAGATTTCATGTCATTCTGGGTCTTTGTTTCAAATTTGGGCATCTTAATGATAATGTTTGACAAATTTGCAGTTTAAATGCACGGCTTGTTCGACGAAGATTGAGGCACACTGCCATGAGGTAACTAACTCATCAATTTGAGCTAATACTTAACTTGCTTTCCTAAAGTAGTTTTGCACGTATCTGAGTTCTGTATTGCTGTTTTTCTTTGAAGAATAAGGGCTAGACTTACTTGTAAGGACGTAGATTAGAGAAATGAAACCAAATACTTTGGTATTTGCTTTACTTTCTCTTGAATCACATAAAGATCCTTACAGTGAAGACTCTGTACTGGAACTACTTGAAAGCTTTAATTGCCTGATGGATTTTTTTTTTATCTTTTAAAGCTTCAGTGCTGTGAATTTTTTTTCTGTATTCCATTTTTAAGTAGATTTTATTTCTATACATTATGTCATTCTAACAAGAAACTGCTGTCTGAACATCAGGGGAGCAATTATTCATAGGAAATATCTTTACGGTTCTGTTTCATTACTCCCGTTGACATCTGCATTGACTGTACGTATGTGTTGCCTTAGAGGTTTTGTTCTGTTTATTCTTATGCTTTCTTTAAAATCTTACTTGTCTTCTTTCATATAGGTTTTACCTCTTCCTAATGTACCATTCTTTTGGGTCCTATTTCGTACTTACTCACACTGGCGAGCTCTCCAGGTGTGTCTGGTGTTCTTGAGCTTTTTAAATTTAAGTATTGTGAAAGTTGTGAATCATTTTTGGATCTATTTTTGTAGCCAGTGTGTAT